CTGCCGGCTCATGGTCAGCCGGCTGTCGACCAACACCCCCAGGTCCTTTTCTGACGGGCAGCTTTCCCATTGGAAAATTTCAGTTATATAAAGTTTAGTAAAGCTTCTCATGCTGCCTTTATGGCCCTGCTTCGTTGTGTTTTGACAAGAATATTAAAACATGAATTTGAATTTTTATGACCTGCATAAGCAACATAGTCATATTTTTTGTTCCAGTGTTTCCACGCAGCCTAAAGAAGCCTCTTGCACAAGATCAGCTCTCCGTCCTGTCCTGCTCAAGCGGTGCGGGAGCAGCTAGCTGCCTTTCCCCTCCCCATGGTGGGAGGGATAAGGGTTGGTGACCCAGTTCAATTTTGCTTCTGATGCTCTGAAGCCTCAGAGGTCCCTCAGGAGAGAGATGAATATGCATGAGACCAAGGACTGCCTCCCTGCTGGGCACGGAAACAAAGCCAGCCGAGCACCCAGAGCAGTTTCCAAATCCAGAGGGCGCAGCACAGAGAAGCCAGAGCAGGGCACAGCTGAGCTTCATTTCCCCGTGAGCACGCAGAGGAAGAAGTGCTGTGGCCACCACCCGGAAACTTGGATCGGGGCTTTGCAAACAGGTCTCCCCTGTTCATCCAGTTACCAGTGTGAATTCGGTATGCCTCCTGTCGCTTCCTCACGCAGACCACGTCAGTAAGACCTGCTGCCCCTGCCATCAGTCCTGACTGGTTTCACCTCTAGCTGAACCTCCGTGTGAAGGATTAGAAGCCCTCCACTGCCTCTGCACGTACACACTATCGAGCCACCCAGTGTTTATTCAGCACAGGTTGTCTGGGGGGTTTTTTTGCACCACAGATGTGCTCCTGCCTTCCTATGCAGGCCAAAATCCCGCTGAAAACAGGCAAGCTTTGCCTTGGGAGTGCATCCTGCAGGGTGAGACTCTCACTCTGACCAGTTCTGACAGGAGCAGAGGGGTCTGTCTCAGAGCAGTGGTCCACTTACACCCTTAGTCTGTCTCCCACCATGACCAGCAGAAGGTAAAAAATTCAGCACAAGCTGTTAACCACAAGAACGTGGGTGCAGCATTAGGGCTCAGAAAGTCCCTAATCTGCAGGTTGCCAGAGGATGGGTGGGAAGGTGTAAGCATAGAATGATCTCTCTAAACATGTCCTATTCTTATATGCTTCCTCGGGTCACTGCTGGAGACAGGATCTGGGCTAGACAGGCCTCTGGGCTGACCTGCTACAGCCGCTCTTGTACCATGGAAAGAGCACATAAATCTTGCAGGAGGCTGTTAGGAAATGACTTTCCCCAGTTCACACACGCCCATGGGAAAACTATTTGCTAATCCCCAACAGCCCGATGGCTGGGGCTCGGCCCGGGAAGTGGGAGGTGTGTGTCCCTGCACAAGGACTGGCAATTTTCAAGCCCTCACACTGGTGTCACTGGGGTTTCTCGCCAGGGACACAATTGCTTCTCTCCCGCGCAGCATGAATGAGAGTTTGCAGCTGCGGGTCCCACAGGTTCTCTGTGCGCAGTGCGGGAAACCCTGCAAGATCTCCTCCTGCCAAGGCATTACAGGTCTTTAGATGGACGTGCTCCTGCAATGAGGTGACACACAGGGAACACCTTCAGCTCCGGGCTGATCATTACCCTGAAATGCCTTTCCACAGCAGCCTGACGCAATACATGAAGCCACCGAAGGATATGACGCAGAGATATTCAGCTCATTGCCTCTTTGGAAGAAGAGAATTGGGGCTACAGAGAGAGAGACCATAAAGGCTGCTTATGGAAATTACTCGATGGTTTTCCACCCGTTGTGGGAGACTGGGAAAGGAAAGGTCAGTGAGAAAGCCAGCACGGTTTCACCTGTGGAGAGCATGCGGCTGCTCGGGGTTAGGCAAGACCAGAGCGAGACGGGCAGCTAAGGCAGCAGATTTCCAGGAGCATCCCCGTGCTTTGCAGGAGCTCTCTGCCTCTCACAGTCAGGCTTGCTTTTGCCAGAGCACGAAGGGGAAAGGGAAGGGGAGAAAAAAGGCATCAGCTAGCACAGGCAGGATCGACCTCTTCTACTCCCTTGGTGGTGGTAGGAACTGCACTTCCCTGGGGCTCTCCACCCAGCTCCATAGCTCCCTTCGTCATGCAGATGGACAAAGTGATTTCAGATTAAACTCCTGCGGAGGCCCAAGGCAGCCCCAAGCCTCAGCGTGTCAACAAGAGACCCTCCCAAAAGCCAAGTCAGTACATCAACCGTAAGCATACCTGGGTAATCGCAGTGATGGATTCTCCTTTTCTCCAGCTCAGGGTTGTTGCGTCTGTTGTATTTGGGGGGCTGCATGACAATGTGCCCTTGGGAGAGGGTCCCAAGGCCATTGGGGACTGGGGGAACCTGGGATGACTGGACCAACTTCAGTCCAAAAGTGGCTTCATAGGATGGTGGGGGAGAGATGGTGTTGATGAGCTCGGGTTGATTTTCTGGGCTGCCAGGCTGTGAGTTGGGGGGTGAAGGGGGCAGGTTCACCCCTGGAACAGCGTAGAACTGCCCTGAGATGTTGAAGTTCCCCTGTCCCTGGGAGACATGTGGGTACTGCTTAACTGGCCCTCCTGGTTGGACAGGTCTGTGGACCACACTGGACATGGTGTTACCTGTGGACATGGTGACACCACTGAGACTGTTGATGGCTGTGGTGCTGTGGGAGGAGGACGTCAGAGTGGTAATGTCAGCGCTTCCGTTGCCAAGAGGCATCTGGTAAAGCTGGGATTGCTGTGGATTGGTGGATAAGGGGATCTCAGAGGGCATCTCCTGCTTGATGAAGATGTTGTTCACTGCCACTGACTGGGGCATGCTGAAGACGCTGGTGAAGTCGGGCAGGGTCTGTGTGGAGCCAGAGGCGGAAGAGCAGGGCTGGGCGAAGCTGGTGCCAGGCTCTGTTTTGATCTGTGGGAATGGCGTCATGGATTTGGGTGGCCGGTAAAGTCCCGTGCGCAGGTGCGTCGTGTCTGGCAGAATCACATTGATGTTCACGCTGTACGGCGTAGAAGTGGGCTTCTCCGTGGAGAAGAACTCATCCACCACTGAGGCACTCTCCCGGCGGTACTTCTTGTCTGCTATCATTGGGATGGATGGCACCTCGTTTGAAAGGTACTTATCCATTTCGGACCGTGCCTACGGCAAAAAATGCAGACAAGAGAACTTGTGAAGAGTGACCTTGACACATTGGTGGTGGGAGACCAACGTTCACCAAGTACTTAAGCTGGCAGGAAATCGAGAGAGCAGCAAGAGCAGCCCAGGAGTCACAGGCTGTGGTGATTTAGTTTCAGTCTCTGACTCAGCCACCGGCTCCCCAGGAGCCTTCCCACTGTCCTCTGTCCCACTTCCCTCCTACCTATCTGCACTGATAACAAAGGGTAAGCTCGGCAGAGGATGCAGTTACGAGAGAAATATAGCCTGATAAAGAAGAGCCAAGCTTTAGGTACAAGGCTTTGGTCACACAAATGAGAAGCTAACACTAGAAATGGGATGACATCAGGAACTGCTCCAGTCGGCCTCGTGCTTTGGGCACGCTGGATCTGCAGCCCACCTTAGACATGCCGATTCTGGTCTCCTTCTCAGGCTACTCAACAGCCTGAGATGTATTGCATTTTGTTCTAAGACAATATCTTTAATTAACTGAGAATATTCTAGGACAATATCTTTAATTAATTGAGAAAAATTTGGGCTATAGCCCTAGAAATCTAAGTGGTGTTGCCACTAATTCAGTGGACTGTGAGCCTAAAATGGAAACTGCCAGGCATACTATTACTGCCTTGTCTTGGTAAAGTGACTCAGCCCTCACCTAACCTTTGGTTTAGTTCTAGTTTTGTAGAGCTGTTTTTACAAGTCTGGGTCCTCCAAGATAATAGGACATCTATCTCAGACAATCACCGCTTGCCAGGTTTCTTCCCCTCCTGGTTCATCTCTGATGCAGCATCCCACTGGATCCTGGCCCAATAATTCAGCAACCTGATGGAGCAATCCGCTAGGAAATTCATCCCCTGGCATTTGATGACTCAAGTTCTGCTCTTTGTGGTTAAAGATACCAGCGCTAATGCTCTTCTATAAAGCTACAGCCTTTAATTATGTGGTTATCCATGTGTCAAGCTCATTGCAAAGCCCTCGTAGACTCATTCATATGTAGAGGAGCTGGCAAAACCACCAGGTTTCCCTGGCAGAACCTACAGCGCACTTCAGGAGAGCAAGCTGATCTTGCCCCACACCCTGCACGCTTGAGCCGAGAGTTTTACAGCTCTGAACTATGTCACTGGAGTGCAATGGGCCAAAGTCATCCCTGCTGCAACTTCATTGCTCTTAACAAAGCTGGACAGGACCCAAGAGATTTCCTCGCCCTTTCCAGCAAAACATATCACCTGTGCTTCCAGCTAATTCAAAGAGCCTTTGCACCTCTGCAGGCCATACTGGCAACGCATGGGTAAGCTGGCTTCCACCCAAACATAGGTACGTGCCACAAATACACCCTCTTCTACACGGGTAGAAGCTCAGAGCGGCTGGACTTGGAAGTACTACGCTGCACTGGAACCAAGCACACTGCACTGGGACTGTGTTTTCTACGCTGTGCTCGCCGCACTGGTGTGTGTACACACTGTGCTGTAAATCCTATCCGTCCTCAGTGAACGTGCAGGCCCTGAAAAGTCCCTGCCCTCATTAAAGGAAGCTACAAAGCTCACTTTGTGTCACATCCTCACCTAACCGCCTCTGCTCAAGGCAGCGCTGCCGCCAGCAACAGCCCCCCCCCCCCCCCCCCCCCCGTGGGGAACCCCT